AATAACTAATTAAACTTATCATTTACATAAGTAACAATCAACTATTATCATTTTCATAACTATATACCACATTAATATAACGCAAAAATGTATATCCAAGAGCCAGAATATAATAAAGAATTCAATGAACCTGAAGAAGTGCTTAATCTCTCCACTAATCGTTGGATTAAAAGAAAAGGAAAATTATATAATAGATTGTTACGTGAAGAATATAAATATGCCAGAGATCTTACGCATTATTTAAAAGATATTCCACCAATCGATTTAGATGAATATGGTACAATCTACCCCTAGCTAACTTTTATTATCCTGCTCTGATACCACCCTTTCTATTTTAACCCGAAGAGAAGATGTCTGATTACTATGTCATCTATTGTCGAAAGAGGAGTGAGTCTTTTCACTATAGAAAGAAATGGAAAAATGTCTTTAGATAACTTGATCGAGATGAATTACTCCAGCTTATCTGCATTATTAGAAATATGTTAGGATAGTAATAAAGCGCGCGAATGGAGAAGTGTTATACTTATGAAATTCCTCCATCATCCAAATTTGATTTCCTCAAAATATAGTCCAAACGCCTTATACGATGCATTCACCAAGGCAAAGGTTCTAGAGCCAGAACATATATTAATTCTAGCTTGAGCATTATACTATAAAATAAAACATAATGCCCAATTATTAGCCTGAATCACCACAACTCGAAGCTATAAATTTTTTTCGTTATATTCTATATGTTAGTAAATTTCAAATCGACATCCTACTCTTGCTTATGCAAATATATAAACTCTTATTTTCTAGGTATAGGAGAAAAAAGCGTAATTAATTTCGATTTGAAAAAATATTTTTTATAGTGTATATAATCTAAAGAATTGTTCATAAATTACTCGACCTACTATAACATTAGATCATGTTAGCCATCGTGACTAAAATTATTGAAAAATACAATCTCAACTCCAAGCTAAATATATCTGATCTTAGCAAATATATCTTAGAATTTCTTGAGAACCTTACTGATGATAGAAAGCAGAATCAGGCTCGACGACGTCTTCAGGATGGTTTTAAATTTAGCAGTGAACAGGTAGGTGTATTGATACCTAATCAGAGAAGTGGAAAAAATAAAACTATAAA